CGGAAAATTAGCCGCCACTGCCAGTGTGCACCGTGATTGCAATGTCGCGGACCATGGACCAACTACTTCAGATTGTTGGCATTGAGTGGAGCTGTGGATGGTGTGAGTGTCGGGGTGTTGAAGAGCAATCTCCGCTACAAAGTGGACGCACTCGTGTTAGCCTATGTACAGCTATGGGAGCTAATGGGAGTTTCCAGATCACATAAGAAGTGAATTCAAGACTGCTAAGAAGTTGCAAGTTGCAACTCTTAGGTTATTAGCTCTATGTTTTACGAGAGCATAGCCATTCCTCGTCTTTGTCCGGGCTGAATCCCGGACATGCTGGTGCCTGCCAGTGTCGCTCTCATCTCGGTCCGGAAGGGGCACGCCGATTGTGCCTGGCTGTCACGTCATCCACCTCAGGTCTTCCCCTCTCCTTCAGCACCTCTGTCGGCTCAGCACCCGCAGCTGAGACGGCTCTGAAAGCGAGTCTGACCTCTCTGACGTAACGGTGAGGGGGTGCGGCGACCAGGGACGATCCTCGGGGAACAATCGGGCGACAAGTCGCTCTAGCCGGAACACAGGTGTCAGTACAAGCTGCAGGGTGTCGTGGAACAGCGACAAAGGACCTGCTACACAAAACGGATGGAGGAGACGTCGCCAAGAGGATTGGCGTTGCGGAATACGCAAATTTAACCGTCGTTAGAAACTGTTTTGTTTGTTTTTGAATTCGTATCGGACGACATTGGTCTTAAGTGAGGTTCTTGTTTAGACTGAGAGAAAGGCGAAAAGTTTCTACTTCGTTTGGGAAACTGAAGGCAGTATTTACAAATGGTTCGCACTTTACGACTTGTGGATCTGATAATCTCCCTATCCTGGTGCTTCATATTGCAGCATTGGCGTCGTTTCCATTCGTTTAAAGGGACCCTCCCACCTTCAAAAAAGTTAATGAATTGGCATGAAAGTGATGTCGCTCGGTTCAGAAAGAGCAAAAACGAATATCTACCAAATTTCATCGAAAAATATTCACCGGTTTTCAAGATATTAGACTTTTACTTTTGTTTACTTTTTGGGATCTCCGCTGCTCCTAGCGACCACTGAACTCTATAATGGAAAGTGCGGCGTTTGTTGCGCGCAAAGCAGCATATACCACCGCGTGCTACAAAACGTTTTAGTCAAACATTTAAAAATCGTTAGATATCTGCGCTGACGTCACACATTCAGAGGGGTATTGTATTTCTATGCATTAGCCCCTCTGAATCAAAATGCTGCAATTTTGAAATTCAATATTTCCGATTTAAGGCATTTCTCGATGTTGTGAGTGCCGAAACCGGTAATTGTGAGCCAGGGACCCCAATTTGGCTATCTCAACTCAAATCTAATGTTAAAGTGGGAGGGTCCCTTTAAAGGTAGTGTGCCACCTTTGAAAGATTTCCCATTTTTTTTTCCTAGGATAAGAAGCTTCTGTTTTTACCTAATATCGCAAAAAAAAATCAAAAATGGGCCTGGAATAGTGCCTTTTTCGCCTAAAAGTTTATCGGTTTTTAGATATGTATAACAACTGTAGTGGGCTCACCTGCAAACAGGCGTCGGGCAACAATCGCGAATGCGGCGCACTTGTGACAATAAGCAAAGGTCATTATAGTGTTACGACCATACGACGTACGGGAATGAGTTATCAGCTGTCTAATCGTAGACAACACAATGTCGAGCCTTAAACTGTAAGCCCGTATTGGTATTGTTTCTTTTATTTGGCTGTCGAACATTATTCATGGTTTGAAATATGATTTTATGTAAAATAATTGATATGAAAAAGCCGTCTTATAAGTTATGACCCCATTTCACCACACGCAAGTGGCAGAAATGACAATGATCAGCTGACGCATTTTTTTGGCCGAAGTCAGAGCGCGCGGCCCGACGCACCACGCGTATTTGGAAATTCCGACCTCGACGAGCATCAGAAGCCAACTAACAGGCGTGTTCGAAACCGCAGGAGCTGATGATGAACGGGTTTATCGAAACTTGATTGGATGAGCATATCGGTAATAGCGATTTCAGTGTGTGCATTTATTGTTCATAGTGGTGTGAAATGTGGTTGGGGTACGACCGACAACCCGTCGGGGCGAATTTCGCACTGGGGTACTCAAAATTTGAAGAATTTAAGACGTTTCCATGAGTTTTGAAGGTATGGATAAGTTCTAAAAATCCGGTTCTCCTTATCTGGGGCATTAACTCCATACGGTCCAAGAAAGCTGGCACACTACCTTTAATTGGTTTCGCTTTTCATTGCCAATAGGTATTTAAAACTATTAATGCAAGTAAGGCAGAAGCTTAATACACCTATTGTACTGGTGCCTATTCACCTACCGTTGCAGCATTTGGGTTCCCCGCCTCAGCTTCCACTTTCTAGCCCAATTCCTGTCACCACACTCGTTTGGAATGTTGACTATGTGACCTCAGCCGTGCTAAGCTTAAAGCCCACCCTGCAATCGGATCAGTCCAGTTCATTTATAGCTCTTAGATTTACGAAAAACCTTGCATTGTGCAAGTCTAACACCACAAACAACAATGAAACGCTCAGACAACAACCTTCATCGCATGGCGAAACCCCGACCGCGTCTTCCGATGTCGCGGGTCATAAATTACCTCCATTCTTCAGCCAGTTAGCGCGTGCGGATTTGTCGGGCTCCACGTCCGGTCGGAGTACCTCTAGGTCCGTCTTTGGGTCTCATCCTGTTCGTTACGCCGCGACTCCCCCGGAGACGCAGGGGTGACGTGTCGCGCAGGCCGAGCCCCTCACATTAGCGGGGGCGGTAACAACAACAGACGCGCGTGCACCGGGCGGGCCATTGTCTGCTGCGACTGCAGCTTCGGTCGGGTGGGACCGAGCTGTACCAGCCTTGAACTGTGGAATGAGGCATGTTTGCTGCGTGGTATAAGTAGCAGGCATAGAGCCTGAGCCTTATGGATGTAGCGTCAGAGACCCTATTGGACTGGTTTATCTCGCTGAGCGAGATTACTCATTATTGATACTAATGGCGATTGTTGCTGACTTTGGTAGTTCTCAGTAATTACTAGTGTCCTTTTTTGAAATGCTGCCATTTGCCCTCCTGTTTCTCAGAAACCTCCCGCTTCAAGTTCCTTCTTGCTGTTTTCTGTTATCCAGTCTGCGTAGGGTTTGAGTACTCGTAGTAAATGATTACGAAGATAACGGTTGTCATTAGACTTGTTACGATTTTGGCCATTGAGCACAATCTTGCAATTAATCATAGTTGAAACTGTACTCTAATTGTCATTTGCAAACTATATCTTTCTTCCAAAAATCCGATGTTGAGGTCATCCGGATTTTGAATTCCTCTGTCCGTCGATGGTATTTCGGTGCCTAGGAATTGTGCCATCCTCGGCATCCACGCCATTGTTTTAGGATGTGACAGGCAGGACTAGATGGACAAACAGTGGAACGGAGTCCCGTGATCTACACTCAAGGATACCGCGGTGCACCAGACACTGTCTACTCTTTCACGGGAGTTTCCGCTAGCGAAATCCACTACTCCTGCTTGCCGCCAGACATCCAGAAACTTTTTAATAGGAATCAAGACGTCTTATTTTGTCACAACCTTGACTATTTTAGTTAGACGCTGGATAATCCAAATGCTTAACAAGGGATATATGCTACTTCATCAATCGACAAATTAAAGGCCGAGCGCGAGGAGAATGGTTTTAGATTTAGAATCAGCTCCTGGATGGCGTCCTCCAGAGATGGCTGCCGCTACCTGAGTGACGCCGCAGAGGCGCTGTGACGCTGAACTGTCACGACCCCGCTATGACAGCCACCGTGACGCTGTGACCACCCCGTTACTGACCGTCTCGTGACACTAGCCGTCACAGTGCAGTCACATCGGATGGTCACAGCGTCACGGTATCGTAAGCCTTGCTAGTAGCAGGCCGCTGAACTTCTTGCATGCTTATTTTGTAGTACGATCCTTACGCATTGTCTGTCAGAATGACGTCAAACTATAGCCACAGACCGAAAGACGATATATTTTCTGCTCACTTAGTCCCCATTTTACAAAATCACATATCATAAGGGGGAGGACAGTTGCAGATCCGGAAAATTACTGAAGCTCCAAAGGTAGTCTTTGGAAGTTATTTTCCTCCGTATCATTGCGGGCAATAGCTCCATTTCCGGCGAAGGAGCCATTTACGTGTGCGTATGTTTTTAGCGTGCTTTTGCCGCTGCACATGTGTTCAGGGTCACATGGATGCTCGATCGGATTGGATTCGAGCGGGCGTGGCTTACGACTGCTGTTTGATAGGCGTGGCGAGTGCTCAGTGCTTGTCTTGGTTCGAAATTGGGCGTGGCAGAGCCTCCGGTCGTGAGAATGAGCTCACCGTCTCACGCGAGTTCGTGCACTCGTGTGTGAGATGTTACTATTTGAATACCTCCTCTCAGTCACGCCAATTTAATGATTTCCGCTCGTCTTGGCGTTACAAGCCTTCACTGGTCTTCATTGATATTCCATTTCTTTGCCGACGCATTGCCGGGTCGCCTGACGTACCGAGCAGCCTCGCGTCTCTACTTCCATCTGCCTGGTGACGAGCGAGGACGTGAAACGCGTCCAGTCATCTAGGTGGCGTCTGTCGCGGGTGACTTACTTCGCTGGACTCCGGCGCCTGACTTCCCGTGTCCTCGCACGGGATCATGTAGGGATCCTGGTCACGGGATCCTGTTCAGGGATCCTGTCATCCGCTGTGTCTGGGATTATCCCAAGACGCCGGCTCTGCAGATAGGTAGCTAAGATATAAGGAGCGGCTACAACAGGTAACGCTGGTTATCGTGCCGTTGAAAACTGACCGGAAATGCCTGTCAGTTTTGCGGGCTGAATGAGTTTAGTTATGTTTGTGATTGCCTTTTGCAAGGCACCGCTCTTTTTTACCAACACATTAGCTATTGGCCGATTCTCCTCGCAGACATCGCTGCTCATTCGCTCATTGTTAACGTTTTTCTCTTTGCTTCACAGAGTGTTGGCGCCAGGAGTTTCATTCAACCTGAAGCTGCACATCATCTACTTACTAAACGACGTACTCCACCATTGGTAAGAAGCTTATACCTAAATAACTTCTAAGCTCTGCTTCTGCTTAAACAATCGTATCCACCCTGCGTTTTTGGCGTTCTGCTTTGTAGCTGCTATTTCTAGTTTTAATCCAGTCCGAATGTTTCCCTTAACCAGCAATGGACGGCGAAAGTTTACATGTAATTCTGTATCGATACATTGGCATCCAGCCCTGCTCGGCTACGGCTGCATCCCACCATCTCGTCCTACCTTTCCGCCACCATATCACCATTATTGGCCTTTCATTATCACTATTATCTTATTTTACCTACCATCACCAGTCAGCATCCCATCACTATCACCGTCACCATCACCGCCTTCGTCCCGGTCCAGTGCCGCGGGTCGTGACCGGGCTCCACTAAACCGCCGACAAATGGCAGCGTGCAGAGGTCGCCGGCGCCGAAACACGCTCGGCCGCGCGCACATTACCCGGACCTTGGAATGTCGGCACGACTCGCTGACTCTGACTGCTCTCGAGGAAATACCGGCCGCCAACGAGCGGCAAAGATGACGCGAAAGATTCTTGTTTGATTGCTTTCTGTCGCGTAGCGTGACTAAGCTTGAAGTAAAAATGCGACGGTTTATGTCTTTTCATTGTGATTTTAGATGAATCCTTTTATTTGCATGTTTGTTTATCAGCTGCTCATTAGTACTCCGTCCTTTATTTATGGAAAACATTCTAGCAAGGAATTCATTCATCGTTCATTCATATGCATACAGCTGAGCTGGACGGCACCTTCAGCTCAGTCTTGATGTACCCAACGTCAGAAATGGACGTGACCGGAGTCTCTTTTTCCCGCAGCGTGCGTAAGAACGTGAACGGTCTGCACCAGTGTCTGGAGTCGGTGGTGGTGCCCATGTTCTGCAACACCATGCTGGCAGCGAACCAGGAGCAGAAGGCCAAGCTGAACAAGGTGGGTCCTCTGCTAGTGATGCAGGCTGGTCTGTCAGGCCACCAGAGGAGCGCGTGCTTTTATATGGGCAGGTGTGAGGTATCGCCACCAACTGTGATGCTCTCGGGATTGTTGTATTTATCTGTTACTCCGTGTGTCGATCTGCCTCTCTGGTCACTCCGTCTGCTGACCGTGCCGCCGCCACCGCCCGCAGCTGCTGACACTCTGGGAGTCGAAGGCCAACTATTTCTCCGAGTCTGCGCTGTCCCAGCTGAAGGAGGCGCCCGCCTCGTGGCAGGCGTACCAGGCCGACCTGGTGGAGCAGCACGCGGCGCCGCTGGCCGCCCTCTCGGCCGCCAGCCAACAGCAGCTGGCCAGCTACAAGCAGCAGCACGAGGCGTTCGTGCAGCACGCGCTGCAGCAGATCCAGCAGCTGCAGCAGCAGCTCGAGCTGGAGCAGCAGGTGCGGCGCTGTCCCGGGGTCTTTGGCCACTACATCACCCTAAAAAAGTCACCACCCTCCTGACAAGTCACCGTACTCATACCTGTCATCCACACGGACTAGAGATATTGTGTTCAGCGATTAGCGAACTACACATTTTTAAATTTTAGCTATCAGTATAGTCGTTAGTCAGTCGCAGAAGCATCGGTGCATTGTCTGGCTTGCCTTCTGTGATTTATTTCCATCGCTTCTGTGTACCTTCGTAACTATCTTAAACGTCGTTCTGGCTGTATTCCCATGAGGAACCCTTCAGCACTCTCCCCTCACTGACCGCTTCGGCTCTGCCCCAGGCGGCCCAGCAGGTGCCGCTGGTGGACCTGAGCAGGCCGCCGCCCGGCTTCAACGACGAGCCGGCGTCGGTGACGGAGGACGACCTGGTGCCGTCGGTGCCCTACTTCGACCTGCCCGCCGGGCTCATGGTGCCTATGATCAAGGTCGGTGGACAGAGACGAATATGGTTGAGCCGGCCTACTGAATGATTTTTTCTTTTCAGTATCGCATGCATCTGCGTTAATATGTTTGGTTGATCTATAATTGTTTTTATTTTCCTTCCTGCGTTTTTTTTAAATAGACAATTTTCCTTTTTCACTTTCATGCCACCCACTGTCACCCTGGCGTGCTTCCTATCTTGAAACGGGTGTCTCGCTTTAACTCCCCCCTTGTGCCTCCCCAGACGGAGGCTCACACATACCGCTCTCTGGACCGGCGTCTCGCTCTAACTCCCCCCTTGTGCCTCTCCAGACGGAGGCCCACACGTACCGCTCGCTGGACCCGGCGGCGATCCGTTTGCCGCCGCCGGCGCCGCCCACCGAGCGCCTGCTGGCCGCCGTGGAGGCTTTCTACGCGCCGTCCAGCCACGACCGGCCGCGCAACAGGAACCTGCGCCCCGAGGACCTGCCCAACAGGAGGGACCGGTGAGAGACAGAGGACAGGAACGGGAAGAGCTGTCCATCGAAGTGACTATGGGGATGGGCTGCCCTGTGTTCCTTGACGGCTGGAGCTGACTGGGAAATTATGGGAATCCGGAGTAGCATGTGAAAGCCCTGAAAATATAAGGAGCAGATGGGGAGTATGGGGCAGATGAGAGCTTAGTCAGTGTGAGAGACGATATGCAAGCTGTGAAGGTTGTGATGTACGAGTTTGTACCTCTGTCTGCTGTTCCGTTCCACTCCTGACCAACCCGTCCGCCGCGCCGTCCCCAGGGACGGCTGGGAGCAGCTGGCGCTCTACGAGTTCTACAAGGCCAAAAAGGCCGCCTGGCGCAAAAAGGAACAGGAGGTGGAGGAGGGCGAGCGCGAGGAGTCGCCGCCGCTCTCCCCGATCCGCTCGCCCTCGCCGTCTCGCTCGCCGTCGCCCGTTAAGGAGCGCCGATACTGCAGGTCAGAAGCTGGGGGCGGGGAGCTTACGCAACCTGGCCATGGAAACATTTTTTTTTTTTTTAGCAACGGAGGGAGTTCTTGCGAACTTGCCGGTGACTATTACCACGCGTCACTTTGGGGATAGGATTCATCGGCTCCAGTGTACTTTTATGTTTACCAAGTGGTAGGTCACTGTATTCGCCTGAATATTTTATTGGTGGATTTTGTGTCAATTTAAAACCAGTGGTAGTTAGTAATATGTGGCATATTTTCGTTGTATTCTAAGTCAGCCTCAGCCGTGCGCCACCTCGCATCCGTGTTCTTCCCCAGCCCCTTGCCGCTTAGTTTCTTCCTCAACCCGAAACTGCAGCTAACGCTCGCTCCCCCTATCACCCGCAGCGTATCTCCGGAGCCGGAGGAGCGCAGTCGCCGGCGGCGCCGCAGCCGCTCCGGATCCGGATCGCGGTCCGGCTCCGGCTCCGGGTCCCGCTCCCGGAGCCCCTCTCCGTCACGAGACACGGACCGACGCAGCCCGACGCCTCCCAGCTTCGCGTGAGTGTGGCGGGGGTGGGGGGGGGGGGGTAGGAGCACTCATACCTTGGATGGGGCTAGTTTGGGAAAGGGGCGAGTGTCAAGACGAAACTGCAGCGATAACTATTAGTTCGGTGGGATTGATCGGGAAATGAGTCTTAGATCAAAGAAAGTTCGGTCTGACCCGACAGCCGTCCTTTATGGTTTCAGTTATCTGGTATGCAAGTGAAACGTTTTTGTTTTTAAAGCGCAGTTACAATATGCCGCTGGAGAGTGTGGAGACGGCCCTGATGAGCCCTATCCCCGTGCGGAGCCCGGGCTGACGACCCCTGTCCCCGTCCCTCCACGCGGTTGCAGCGGGTTCGGCAGCACGGCGCCGGCCGTTAACGTCTCCCAGCGACTGGACGAGACCAACAAGGGCCACCAGCTGCTCAAGGCCATGGGCTGGGGCGGCGCCGGCCTCGGCAGCAAGGAGCAGGGCATCGCCGAACCCATCTCGGGCGGGGAGGTGCGTGTGGAGAACGGAACAGGGGTGGTTGGGCTAGGTGTCCGGGTGGGCGCGGTTATGTTAGATGACACGCTGAAGCCATCAGTCATCGAGATGTCAGGGTATCATGAGCATAAGTAGGCTTTAGTTGCATGTTACGCAATGTGTGTCGATTCTTTGCTCATCTATGTCAATTTGTCGTAACGGCTCTGACTGTTAAATGTCTGGATGAGACGACTGTAACTGACGTAGGTATCCCTTTTCGATCAGGTGCGGGACAAACAAGACCAGTACAAAGGCATCGGCGTCAACATGCACGACCCCTACGAAAACTTCCGCAAGAGCAAGGGCCAGGCGTTCATCTCTCGGATGAAGGAGCGCCAGGAGGAGATGCTGCTACCGGTGCCGCCCAAGCCGAGCTAGCTGCCCTGTGTCCGGGAACGGGACGGCTGCCCGTGCGGTGGACGTGGCTCCGTGAGCCCGCTGTGATCGAGCCGGCCGTCCCGGTCCCATGTGGGGATTTCTGCTGTCCCGTCCTGTGGAGATGTGCTGGCGAATTACTGTGACTGGGAGACCCGGGCGTACTGCCGCTCTCAGATGTTTACGAGCTGTCGCGAGTTTGCACTTTGGCGCGGTGGTCTGAAGTGCAACGATAAAGTGGCGTGGCCGCCTGCATTGCTGGTGTGCGATCACAACGGTCGTGCTGGATTGGTGTCCAATGTGTTAATATATCATCATCATCTTGGATTTCTGCTCTTGATTCTGTTATTTCGAAGAGGGATTCGTCGTCCTTCTACGACTACGTTGACTGACAATAGGAGTTGTTATCCTGATTGCTCCTTCAGATGGATGGGTATTTCACAAAATTAATTTCGTGAGATACTTATTTGTAATGGACGAAAAAAATCGATCGAGTTGATGTGCGAGTGGAAATGGCTCTGGCCGCTAAATGACATAAGAGTATGATGACGTCATGCGTCGTCATCCTCCAATCAATATGGCAGCACTGTTGAAGGAAATCCTTTGTTTATTCCCTTACGTTGCATTTGCAGGCTGCAGGCTGCACCAAGGCCATCTAAAGAGGCTGCACTTCTGATGGTATGATGGGTTGGGTTATGTGTGTTTTCTCTTGATTTACCCCGCGTTCGATGTCTCTCGGACGGCGAAGATTCTACGCCGTCCGGCCAATCACGTTTCATAACCACAGCCGAGCCCCCGCTGACCTTGGACGTTATTGGCCGGACGGCAAAGAATCTTTGCCGTCCGGGAGACATCGAACGCCGCCTTATTCCAGTTTAGTGCAGTTTTACACCTGCGAGAGTGAAAGATTTTGTCAGAAGCGCTGTTCGGCAGCCGGCTATTTTGTGTGCAGGGTATGACGTATTTCGCGAGCCGACGTCACAGGCGGTGACGTCGGCTCGCGCGCGAGCCGAGCGCCAACGACAAACTAACGGGAACCCTCGGACACCCTCGGGGCATAAACCGCGGAGTAGCATATTGAGCGTGTCTTATAAGGAAAATTCATATATTTTCGTTTGTCAAATGATAATCAGGGTGTCTCTTACCTTTTTACATATCATTTAGGCTTACCTAACACTTCAGTTGCCAAATATCTGCAATTTATTCAAGCGAAGGTATTTTCAGCAAATATCAATGGTATAGACCGAAATCTTTTGAATAAAAACTCCAACCAACAGAAATAAAAATAACTTAATTTATTCCAACCATTTCCTCCAAATAAACAACATAAAAACTCACTTTCACACACATCATTCATAATAAAGCATACCAACACGCCGCTTTTGACAATTGCGGCGTCGAGTGGCGCGCTGCTAGCGCTCTTTTTCGATCGCAGAGACCCTGCACGCGCGCGAGCACACTACGTCACGTCCGGGGGGCACAGGTATATGAAAAATCGCAGTGACGTAACACTTTTCTCGCTTCTCATTGGTCAATAGCCCGTTGCCGGGGTAACGTGCACGTATGTGAGCGCGGGCAAGAGTACTAGCCGGCCGCCGATCAGGGCTAGAGATCAAGATTGAGCTACTACTTAGTGGGTGCCTATATACCCTGGTGGGTGCTGGGTAATATTTGCTTCTTGTTATGCCTGCTGCCACATATTGATATTGCTCTCCAATATGTATAATTTAAATCCAAATGCTAGTTCGTTTCCTGAGTGTCATTTGATTGATAATTGAATCTAGTGTCTGATATGTCTAGGGTCTTGGTCAAGGAACCAGTAATCTCTATTCATTAATTGTACTGCTCCAGGGCCCAATCTTACCAAATGCCATGAATGCGCATTATAACAGCATTGGGTAGCATTCAGAGCTATTCCACATTAGCTTATTCGTTCAGGCAACATTCATAACCATTCAGGCTGTCAAAATGATTGGACAAGCTTAGCTGGATGTAAATAGAAAGGATATCTTTGATATCAGTGCCGTAAACTCCGTCCAATTGCTGCCAAATCCTGTTTACGGCATTGGTAAGATTGGGCCCTGGTTCAGGTTGAATTGAAGGCTGCCTGACATGGTATTTATAGTTCAGTTTGCATTTGCATGCAGGACAAGATAAACAATGTGCAATGTAAATGGCCACAGTCTTCATTAATTGTCATTATAGACAGCGGGCTTCGGTAAAAACTGGATTGCGTCAGCTGGCTGGCCAGCTGGTGACGTACGATAGGTATTTATAGATATAAGCGAGGTAGTAGGATGGACATAAATATTTCAAATGGCTTTAAATGAAAAAATTGATAGGTAAATATTTATTATTTTATATTTAGCATTGATATGTAAGAAGCTCTGCTAGCGCCACCATACGGCGCCAGCTGGCAAATAATCCAGTTAATACCAGGGCCCTAGACAGCCTGCTTTGAGTCTGTATCAAGGCTATATAATCGTCTGTAGGTATCATTTTCCTTGAATCAACCTGACTGACCTGTCTTTCTTGTTTCTCCTCTATTCTCTACTTCAGCAATACGGATTGCTAGCCTCTGATCACCAAGTTGACAGAGTGGACACTATAAAAGGCAGATGACATGTCTCACTGGAAGGACATGGCCATGGAAGCAGGCTCCAGCTATGTGGAGGGAGTGGGTGACGAAGTGCTGCTGACAGCCACATTTATTGTCATCGCGGTCTCCATTCTCGTCCTGGTCTTCAGGTTTGTTCTAGTGTAACTTTTTTGGGTTTTGTCATGGTGTCTCGGCACTCACTGGTGTACCCCTTTGTTTGATTTTCAACAGCCAATGTTTGAGGTTAGAACAGTACCTAAGGAAAGAGGACTGGCTTGATTATTGATATGAATATTTGGCAGAAGAGCTAAATCAACAGCATTCTCAATAGCTGGTTATAAGCCTTAAAAGGACAAGGGATCAATAGAAACATCTCAATTTCCTGCTTTGCTTGTTGGAAGCATTTTGTAGCATGGGAGAGAAGCTAGCACAAGTATCCTAACTCCTGTCACATGATATGAACATATTGTAGTTCTAGCACTATACATTTTTGACTCATTTATTTATATCATTCCAGACCTAACCTGGACTTGACTGCCCTGTTTGGGCGCCAAGCTGATGCTCCAGCTGCGCAGAATAATTTCACACCACAGGCGCAGACAAATGGTGCAACGGAGCAAGGTATGACCCAAATTGTGAGCTATTTGGAGGGTCTGACAATGCAAAATGTCTTTGATAGTAATGACTAAATAAGAACAAATTGGCACTGTTAATTGTGACCAACAGAGTTCATTAGGATTTCAGTCAATCCTCATGAGATGCAGCAAAGTCCCACGCTCTGACTACCTCCTGCTCTCCCCAGAAGGTGCACCAGCGGAGGGCGGCGCGGCGCCGACGGTGGCCGCCGTGCCGGCGCCGCGGCGCGCGCGCAGCGGCAGCGTCGACTCGGCGTGCCCCATCTGTCTGGCGGAGACGATCCGGCACGGGATCGAGACCAACTGCGGCCACCTGTTCTGCGCCCAGTGCCTGTTCACCTACCGCGACCACGGCAGCTTCGTCGGGCCGATGAAGTGCGCCCTCTGCAGACAACCGGTGCGTTGACGGTCCCTGGTCGACCCGAGCCGTCACGGCAGTCGGCTCATAACACGCGAAATAAATTTTGACGTCTTGCATGGCTATTGGCTGACATGAAAGCTGTAGTTTTTAGGAGACCATCAGCGAGTCGATTTATCGTTCCCCATGCTGCCTTCACTGCTCCGTTCGTTAAATCTCCGTCTGTAACCCCCAGGTGACTCTACTGTTTCCGAGTTTCACTGAGGACGAGCTGAACGCGGCTGAGCCGGACGACATCGAAGCGCGTGAGCGGGCGCGTTCCGAGAGCAGCCGGTACAACCGGCGCTTCTCCGGCGAGCCGCGCGAGGTGAGGGCTCGTGGGGCGGCACGGGAGCTGACAGAGCATGGAGGGACGGAGCAGTGTATATGGACGGAGTTTAGCAGAAGTCTTCACCCTAGGGCCTAGAGCATATGAATATTTTACGAATCGATATATTCGACCAACTTAGCGAAAGGTTTGTCGATGCAAATGACATTCTTTCTGTCGCGAATCGTGACTGATAAACCAGAAATTTAATGAACTTCTATTATCTAATGTTTATGTAATGCCTACCTGAGTTGCCACCTTACCGACACCTGTTCGTTGTCTGACACCATCCTTGTTCCAGCTGATGGAGTACCTGAGGGACCTGCCGACGCTGCTGCGTCACCTGTGGACCGAGTTCTTCAGCGAGGGCGGCCTGTTCCTCATGTTCCGGGTGCGCGTAGTGGTCTGCTTTCTGGCGGCGCTGTTGTACGTCGCCTCGCCTCTCGACATCCTGCCCGAGGCCGTGTTCGGTCTGCTTGGTCTCTTCGATGACATCTTCATCATGGTGCTCATCATCATCTACGTCAGCGTCATCTACCGGCGCTACGTGGCGGCGCGACTCTGACGGCCGGCGTGGCGAGATAATCCGAGCTCACTGCTCAGCCGCCGCTCAATGTGCAATGGACGTCCGCACCGCCTGCTCCGTCTTCAGCGCACCGAATGCCTGAGTGGGAGTGTTTAACTGGTCGACTCCGGAGAACCTGCGACCAGTCACCGCCTTCCTCGCTGCTGGCCGTTCAATGTTTTGGCGTCTGCGTGGCTAGCAGAGCTGTATTGTTTTGCCCCCTAACGGGACTGTCGACTGCGTGGTGAGACTGTGTATTCGGTAGGGCGGCTCTGTGTCAGATCTGGTGATACGAATAGCGGTTCGGCCCCGGCGAGTGTCCTGTTCTCGGCATCCTGGCCAGTTGTTGGGTCGGGTGCGGCGATTACCGACATATCGAGTTACGAAGAACTGAATAGAATTTTATATCCTTACAGGATCACTTCGTTTTCCGGAAGTGCTATTGGATGTTAGCTGCTAGTCATGGTCTGCGTGGAGTGAGTGAGTGATAGCCACTTGGTGTGGATTTCGTTGGTCTGTAATATGTAACGCTAACATGCATGAACTCGTTATCTGGCTGTGTGCCGTCCTTGCGCTAACTGTGCCTCTCCTGCCACCTTTATCCGACCAGCGACGCCCCTAACCTGGGACGGAGAGACCAGAGCTCCGACCCGGGGTGATCTGCAGTCCCCAGCCCGGGGCGCGGCCGCTCCGTCCTGTGATACCGCCCGGGAACCCGCCGCCGCCGTCCACGGGTGTCCGCGTGTGACTGCCCGGTGGGGGATTGGCCCGGCACGTGGGCACCGTCCAAACCCCGCCGACCTGCGCGAGCTCCAATGACGTGAATATATGTGTGGAGAAACCAGACAGGTGTGATATGACAGGCTAGTCTGAAAGCGGGTCCCCGGCCTGGTCTGCCAGACCAACGTCACTAACGATTACATGCAGACTCCCACGATGGTGCACTGAAAATCACATGTATTGAAGGTGACCACTGGCGACACAAGGAACTGAATTCGAGCTGAGGTGGGAACGACATCTCGAGTTCCCCTTTCGAAGGTATCCCGTGTCTCTTATGAATCTCGGGCACCAGCGCTGATGCATTGGGCGTTGAACCGCTTCGGTGACCCTGGTGGACTGGCAAGACACTGAACGGCGGACCGCCGGGCTTAGAGGAATGTATGACTTTGGGACGGCTTCATTTCACTTTCACCACATGATGCCAAATGCGGGCATCAAGCATCCTCAGGTGATGCAAATATGTGATACATGACCACATTTCTCGCCCAGAGAAGTCCATGGAGGATACGTCTATCACCACGCAAAACGAGGGACGGAAGGAACGAGAATCACAGCAAACAGGTGCGCATCATTCGATGACAAATTGTAACACAATGCTTTACCTGCAACAAACTGCAATGTCACACGGTTATATGAAATATAAATAAGTGAGAAACATTGGAACGGTACTCGCTAGGCTGAACGACGACAAACTTTAAACGTTCGTAAGTCATAACCACGCACAGACCATCCAGTGACTTAAGAAAAGCGCACAACATCCCAACATCTCTTAGGATTCCTACAGGAATCATATATCACAAAGGCGTACACAATGCCCTTCAATGAATGACATATCCAGTCACCTATCACCAGAAACTAAACCTTCATAAAAGCAACTTGTAACTTGTAAACAATACTGGCTCAACAATAAATAAAATAAATAAGACGCACATGACAATACTAATAACATGACTTGAACAGATTGCTCGACATAGGATATATAGAGCCGATGAGATTCCCATTTTTGGTTCTATGAAAGCCATAATCAATAAGTGCTCTGATCCAGTTTTGCACACACATTAACCTGTGAACATACCTGAAATTGCAAGGACTGCACATATTCTGTCTTACATGCACAAAAACAACGTGTGGCCCTCCCTCCGAACAAAGGTTCATCAGGGGCGAACAGAGTCACAGACGACTTTAAAGCAAATCAGTCATCACTCATCAGAGCAGGTATTCTGGCCAATGTCCGCATGTAAAGTTCAAAGGCTTTTAGCAGTGATGTATAGGAGAACATAAACGCGACAATGAAGCTCATATTAAACGCTGTTGACACATGATCTCAGTACACTGGCCGCGTCAATGATGTGTCCACTCCCGATATGTTCAGGACGGCTGGACATAATGCATCCCCATTGAGTGTGGCAGCCGGCAGGGGACTTGTAGGTACCGATTTGGCTAGGTCCCAGGACCACTGAAGCCATTCTCCAGGTCCTTCCCAGGTTCGTACGGGTCGTTCCAAGGCGGTGGCAGGCGTCTACCGTCAGTTCAATGACCGTTGGGGGGTGGTATCGGTTATTCCGATACATTGACAGGCTACTACCGGTCGTTCCGAGACGACAGGCTTCTAGCGGTCGTTCCAGGGCTGTCGGTGACGCACGGCACCCCTCTCCAGGATGGGACGCACCGGCGGAGGCGTCTCGTGAAATCCAGAGATGACTGATCGCGATGGCCGCGCCGTGCGGATCTTCCGAAGGAGGATCTGCGAAAGAAAGAGGCGAAGTGTTATCGAAGAGAAAGTAATAGAAAGATCCATGCCTTAGACCATTCCTATTCAGGAAATGCTTAGATCGAGCGTCGCAGTGACTTGAACACAGGCTCTCACCACGGGAGCCCCATCCTTTACCAACTGATCTACGGGACGGGAAAGACACCATCTACAGATATACGGCAAACACTGAGCAATAGGTACAGAAAACATCACTGAACTCGACATACACACCAAGCTAACACCAGCTGAATCTCACCATGTTTTCCCGTCGAATCTGGTCCTGCGTCCCCCTGCTCTTGCCCCCTCCAGGAACAGGGGACGGGCGCGCCGGTGGCCGGCGCTGCTGCGCTACGATCTTGTTGAGCAGGATGCGGTTGTTTCGATCTATCTCTCGAACCTCCTCGTTCGTGAAGGACATGTTCTTTCGGTGTGGGGGACGCACCGGTCGTCGCGGCGGCGGCGGAGCGGTGCGGAGCTTGGTGCGCTCCAGGTGTCTGACGGCCTCGGCCAGCAGGCCCAGCCGGCCGCCGGGCGCCGAGCGGCCGCTGCCCGCCGCCGCCGGAGACCGCCGCGTCCTCTGTGAGCGGTCCGAGCCGGACCCCGCGGCGCCGAGCCACGTCTCCACGTCCGCCGAGCCGGCCGCACCCGCGTCAGAGTCGGAGGCGGCCGCCCGGTCGCTCCCGCTCGAGTCGGTCTCTGCACCCAGCAGCTGCTCGATTCGCCGTTGTGTCAGCGCTGCCTCTGTGAGACTGCAGTTCCAGCGCTTCCTCTGCGGCCAGCCGGACCGAGGCCGCGGTCTCCGCGCGCGGACCGGCCCCGAGCCGCCGCCGGGCGGGACGGCAGGGACGCGGTCCGGAGACACGGGATGAGGGGACAGCGGACGGCAGGAGGTGGCGTTAGATCGGCCAGCCAGGCCGCGGGATGAAACAGGGACAGGCGACCGGGACGGAGAAGTGACAGAGGGCACTTTCGGGACGGGGTCTGACTCTGTGTCACGCCGGGTTTCTCGTGAAGTTCCAGCAGACAGCCTAAGTTGGTGCAAGCTCTCCTGGATAGCTGTCACATCACGAACAACTGTGCGCAATCGCTCCGTGCCTGGCGAGCAGGGAGCACTGTCTGACTGATGGTCTGCACTGGCATCTCCACTCGCTGCACTCTGGCTACTTCCATATTCTGATTCACTCTCTGTGTCTGCAGCACTGTCTTGCTCACCACTTTCGGAGCTCATTTTTGGTTTACAGTTCTCAAATAGCTCTGGTTGACTGTCTTCCTCTGATTTTGCATTGGCATTGTTTTTTCCACATGCCAAAATTTGCACTTTTACTGACTTGCTTGCAACACCATCAGCAGCAGTGCCTCTTACAGCAGAACTTTGTGCACCAGCAGTGTTATTGATGTGTGGTTCTTTAATAGCTGAATCTACTGAATGAAAGAAGTCAAAGTCTACTTCTCCTGTGTGCAAGTCTGGGTCATATGAAACATCCTGGAGACCCAGTTTGCATGCCATTTTCAGTTAAAACATTGAATCTGGAATCGTTGACATTCATAAGACCTGGGGAATAATTGCAAGTTACTGTTACCAGTATCTACCTATCTATCTTAAGAAGAGTCACCTATAACATTTTAAATCAGGGTTGAGAGGCAAGGGGTACTATAGCATTGATTCAAGGTCAAAGTCACCAAACAGCTTTCAACTCTTACTTGATAGTAGATTCTGACTCCAGGGTCCAGAGTCAACATTGCATGGCTCAGTAGTCAGTCATGTCATGCTCCAGCTTGACAGCTTGGTAAGTGTGAAGACAAGTTATAGGGTGAGCCCAAAGTGAAAGGCTATGATATGTTGGGTAAGGTGAGGCCAGGTAGGATCTGATAAGTTCATGTTAATTTCATCTATCCTGGTAGAAAATAGCAATTAGAAGAAAGACCTACCAGGGTGGTGTTCCACGGCCCTGGGCTGCAGCGTGCTGCACTACTGTATTGGAGCGGCGTTTCAGACAAAATCGGCCCCACACCCCAGCAATGTGAATTACGGATGCCTGAGCCTGACAAGGCTGTGTGCCTTAACCCAAGACCATCAAGCGTTGCAAGCATCTGGGTTTCTTAATGCTTCCAAACCCAATGCACCGCTGGGCGCAGGCTCGCAGTGCGCTGCAGTAAGGCGTTAAACACCGCCCTGACTAAGATTAGGGTCCTGTTTCACCGCTGATATCAGCACGCTGTAGGCCAACAACTTGATAACATCCTACCACTTATATAACAATAAGGAAGCAGTGACGTCGCCAGTGTGCTATGAAATTCATATGGGTATCATTCAATTGCAAACATTTTTCAACCGTAACATAGAAACTAAGGTATTAGTAAGCCTGGCGTCACACGAAGATGCCAGATGTGCAAACCATCATCTTCCATCACAATCAGGGATAACCAAGGCCATATCAATAGTTTGTTTTCTTGGTTGTTTAACGACGCATCAGTCAGACTTGACACCATATCAATATGACCATAAGTAGGCAACATACATGGATAACTAACAATTAACTTTAATCACGCCGTTTTCGTCTCCTTGAAATTCTTTTAAGTTTGTTTATTGACCATCACCAGCTAGATATTTTGTGACATCATTGGCACTAAATAGAATGATTGAAGCAGAAAGTTTTAGTTGGGATAGCTCAATGTTGTACGCTCAATAAAAAGATTCGATCATTAGACTAGACATTGATGTGACCAGGGTTGAAGTGCATAGTGATTTTTAATTGATATGGCTTCTGGCTAGCGCCATTGATATCCCACGATCGGCTATAATGATCAGAACCTATGACGTCATTTTAGATAATTTTGAGAAAAGTATTGTTCTAAACTCTTTTTAGTACCTACGCTGTTCTATTGTGAAAGTTCTGCAGATTGTGCCATAAATGGCAATCGCTTGCTGGCATTTCTCGGTATTTCATTGGTGCTACCACATACAACATGAATTTCACCAATGACAGCCCGAGAAACGACAGCATACTGATAACATCTAATGATTCTTGAACAGTGTTATTTAGGCAAGGGCCACTATCTGTAAGAAGCCACCCAGCCTTTCATTGGGGGACTATTAAAGCATCCAAGAGCGCAGCATCCAAAATACGCAACAACCAAAACCGCAGCATCCAGCGATCAAAACCTCCAAATAACATCCAAAATCGGCCCTTTTGGGAGCATTCAGAGCATCCAAGAGCGAAGCATCCAAGGATGCAGAATCCAAAACCGTATCATCCAAAATGGCAGCACGAGAATATCTGAGAATCGTATCATCCAAGGACGGTTCATCATAGAGCGAAACATCCAGAATCGTATCATCCAAAACAATACAGAAAAGATGGAGCCACTCAAGAGACTCAGTAGCGCCACCTGGCATATGTGTTATAAACTATTAGTTTTAGGCTTGCTTGACAGGTGGCGAATGCGTCGTGTTTAGCGACACATCTTCACGATGTGACGTCACTGGGTAATATGACGCCACTAGGTATTATACAGTGGATCCCCATGATATTTATTAACAACCGGAGCCGACTGCCGGTGGCTGCTCTGTGCTCCCGCCGCCGCCGCCACTCTGTCTCCCGCCAAATAGCAGGAAAGCGCGGGAACCAAAAGCGCGCCAAATCGGCGCGCCGCGTGCTAGCTCTTCGCTCGCTAGGTGCAGCTGCACTTGGCGCCGGCTGCGCGCCGCGTGGCAACTCGTTGCTCGGCCGGTACAGATGCACTTAACAAAGCAATGAATTGCGGACAGAGCTGTTAGCTGTTGGCGCCTGGTGGCATTACCGAAAGGTTAGGAGGTCGATGGTATTTGGTTTGATGGGTAACTTTACTAGAAGTTATTCGTTGAGGCTGGAAGCAGGGGCGTCGCCACGGATTTTTGACTGGGGGGACGATCGACAGAGGTGAAATCTAACAAAAAAACATAAACAACACGGCCAGGCAACCGTGTTTGGGACAACACGGCCAGTTAACTTATCAAGCTAACAGGGTATTAACATTTTATACATCACGCAAGGTATGTCATAAAAATCAAAAAGAGCTTATTATGCCGGGCTTCCCCCGGCTTCCCCCAATGTAGGGTAAGGTGCCTAATTAGCGACCCTTTCCTATTTGCGACCTACCTCCCTACAGAAAAGCTGGGAAGATAAATCGGGGTAAAAACAATGTCAAAAGGTCTGCCATACTTTGGTTATCAAACTAAATTCTTTTCCGGTTGTCGGTGCTTCTGGTTGAACGTTTTAGGGGAGTTGCGATAAAAATGGCCAGTTTCTCATCCAAAACGTGTGCATTTGGAGTTTGGATCCTACCTGATGAAAAGCGATGCACAGATAATGCACCTTTTTTATTATAAATCGACAATCCTTTTCCAATTGATTGCCGTTTTCCCGTAGTGAATCACGTTACTGTGCACTGCATGGTAGTCAAAAATGTGTCGCAACCCATATTTCCTATTTGCGCCCAACACGGTCGCAAATAGCTCAAGAAGGGAAAGAAAGGAAACAGACAGAAATTAAAATGAGGTGTTGCTGAAGTTTGCGATGTGTGGCGGGTGATACCAACTGTCGTCACCGACGGCAGGGGTGCCGATGCCGAATCCAGGGCGGGCCTCGAATATCATGCGAGATAGCCCGCAATATATGGGTTTTCGCCTTATTTTTGCCTTTGGTGCATCACGTGATCAGTTTTCACCTTCATAATGGTGTTGGGCAAACGCTCCTGTTCCAATGATTGAGTGCTTTGCGTATAAGTTGCCTGTTTGGAACCATATTGCAAATTTGCAGGCGTCGCATTTATTTTTTGCCATTTTTATTATGGGAAAACCCATAGACTTATTAGCGACCCTCACCGTGGTCGCTAATCGGGACGAGTTCCCTATTAGCGTTTTTGCAATGGTTTGCCAAAATGCTCAGTGCAAATAAATCAGTGGATATTGGTGCAGAAAATGAATGGATTTTAATAGCAAAATGTACGATCTCTTCAAAGATCAAGCCAGTAATACAGTGGCACCCAATACCCATAGAGCGTGAGCAATGACGGTTCAAATTAAAGGAAATAGTTCACTTTCCTGAAATTAGTATTTTGCTATGGATTTATGTTTTTTATGCTCAAAATGATCAGAAAATAAAACAAATCGTTTTTGTAAAAAAGGATTATTTTCTATATTTTAGTATAAGAAGAACTATATTCTATATAAAATAATGTTTGACGCGGAAGCTTATTACGCGTTGACCAATCATATTGCGTAGGACAAACCGATCGGCTGTAAGCAGCATTCTGATTGGCTGACGATGACGTGACTGCATTCCTCAGCAAGGCACGCATTCCTCTGCAAGGCACTCTTTTCGGAACGAAAAATGGAATATCTTCGTCTAGGGTGACCGTTGGGCCGTAAAAGCTTCTGATTTGTGCTAGTCTCAGCGCAAGCAACAAAACTGCTATTCCAGTTCCAAACCCCATGTTAAAAGTGAACTATTTCCTTTAAGGGGGTCGCTAATTAGGCACCTTACCCTACAGATCCGTATGTATTTTGAGTTCTCTCATCTAAGAAAAATGATTTAGTTAAGAAACTAAGCTCTTGGGAGCGATTACCGTAGCTGAATGTTTTGCATCGAAATTGGCCGAACATGACGTCACTCTGACGTTATTTCCGGTTGGCCTATGAGAAGCGAAGAAATTTTCATTGGAACACGAGTGACGAGATGTCAAAGTGATGGAGCCGAAGGTTCAAGGTAGTAGGCACTGCAAGTTTCGTGTGCATGGATACGCCCAGTGGTTTAGAAGATGTTGCAGAAAAGCGAGGGGAGTTCTCTGTAGAGTCCCCCCCTCCCCACCCCCAGCGCGGGTTAACCCTCGCCGGCACAGGGGGGGGGGGGTTGATGCAACCCCCCTAAGGTTTTTCGCGAATACCTCGCGTAAAAAGCGGCCGATCGCGACGAAACGTTAAATACCCTCGCATTGATCAATTTTACACGTTCCCTGAAAATTTCATGACCCTGACCCCAATGACCTTTGACCTGTGACCTCTTTTCCGTGACCATGTTTGGCCGAAATTGCGATTCGGCGTATGTCGGCTCTCATTAGCCGCACGTTTGCAAGCTTTTCGTGGTTTCAAACGTTCAAACATATGATTTAATGTTGCTCCCATACATTAACCCTCGCCCGTATTGGTGTTTTTCCAGCCGCGAACGTATAAGGGGGGGGGGGGGTCCGTTGGACCCCCCCTTGCCGTTTCGCCCCGGATCGAGCTAGAGCTTCGCGGAAAAACGAGCGTGTTGCCCGTGACGAGAGGGAGCCGATGATACCCAATTTTAAGGTCCTAGGTCATTGGTTGACCTTGCAGGTCAGGTCAATGACCCAAAAGTCGGGGAAATCGGGACCTGTTAGAACGTCGTAAAGTGTGGCTGCTATGAGGTTTTTCGGGGTGCTGATCACGAATATCATGTTAGTTTTGATCACAGATGATGTCGTCATGCATTTAGTCCAGGTCGGGTCAGGTCAGGTCAGGTCAACCGGTAGGGGCTGTGACGGGTATTCGTAATACGTGTCAACCGCCTCGGACAGCTTCGCAACATGTTACGAAGGCACCAAAACCACTTCGTAAATGTTCATATAGTTGCTAAATTCGAATTCAGCTCCAAAAACTAGCCTAGAAACATGTTAAACTCGAAAAAGTGAACCGAGGTCACCCGAGGTCACCAAAGGTCAATGACCTGACCTGACCTTCAGGTGACCTTGACACCCACCCTAATGCATGGGAGCAACATCAAATCACATGTTTGAACGTTCGAAACCACGAAAAGCTTGCAAACGCGCGGCTAATGCGAGCCGACATGAGCCGAACCGCGATTTCGGCCAAACATGGTCACAGAAAAGAGGTCACAGGTCAAAGGTCATTGGGGTCAGGGTCA